TTTAATAACCTTCCACCTGTTAGAGCTGTCTTGTTCCCCAAGGAAAGAAACAATCATCTTTAAAAGAAAAATTTGGTTAGCATCTTTCTCTCTCTCTCTCTCTCTCTCTCTCTCTCTCTCATTGTGTGTGTGTGTCTCTGTGCGTGTGTGTTTTAGCAAAGCATTTATTTTAGGGTACTTCTTTACTAAAATGCTCTTGCTTTTCTGTGTGAAACATTGCCTGTTAAGTGCCAGAATGGAAAAAAAAAAAAAAACCACACATAATTTTGGTATCCAGTAACCACGGGGTCTGGGAGTTCTGCTCTAGTGCACAAGTGTTGTGGACAAATTGACAATGTAAACATTACAGAAATGAGCTCAGGGTTGGGCAGAATCTAAGAACTGATATTGTGTAACACAAGTGGTAGGAAACTGATGAACTGTTTGCAGTATCATGCCTTGCTTCAGGCTTCTGCCCATATAATCTTATTGTACTGACACATGTGTTGACTGGCTGGCCAAATCCAGATGTGTTAGTAATAGCACCAAAGGTGCCTGGGTATGAATTTTTCTGAGTGATTGCAATTTAAACATAAAGAAATTATCAAACTATTGTGAACAAAGGACATAGAGATCTCATTGTCTTCTCTCATGCCATCTGCAAATACCACTGCATATCATCCTGCTTTGGCATTTCCAGAGTAATCTGTTGCTTTAAGGGCTTTAAAGAAAGGATTGCACAAGCTTGGTGGGAAAAAAAAAGAAACAAGGTCTGGAAAATTGCTCAGCTAAAAGACAATTCCCTCTGCAGCTTCCAGCTCCTAGGTAAAACCCATTCCTCGCAGGCTCACAGGCTGCATATCTGCTCCACTGACTAGGTCTGGGAGCACTGTGCAGCACAAGGTGCCCAGCAGTGTGATACCTGTCTTGCTCCTGGTAGCCAACTGAGCAGAGCACGAGCTGAGGCTGCCCACAACCTCAGTAGGTGACACCTTCCAAGAACACCAACCTCAGGTTCAGTTGGCATGTAATACACGTGGTCATGGTATATCACAGAACCATGGAATCACAGAATAGTTCAGGTTGGAAAAAAACCTCCAAGATCATTGTGTCCAACCATTAACACAGTACCATCATGTTTTCCACTAAACCATATCCCCAAATGCCACATCCACATGCTTCGAACTTGTCTTCATAGCCCCTTGAGGGCTGCTTTGTGCCTGCTATTGCCATGCAAATGCATTTTATTTAATGTGTCATTTCGACGAAAGAACTGAGGGAGATCAAATGACACTGCCAAGTGATGAGTTCAAAATAAAAGATAAAAAAAGAGCAGTATATAAAAATGAATACAAATGAAGTAGTTTTTCACACAAAAGCATTTAGCACCACCCATGAGTCAGATTCAGGGGTGAAAGCCAGTTGGCCCTAGATATTGGTGGCAAAGAGCACTCAAAATTTACATTAATTCAAAAGGTAACAATTTTTTGCAGAAAAAGGTATCAAATGCCATAAAACCAAAAAAGACTGTAAATACAGATATAAGGTATACGAACATACAACCATTTGCATTCAGATATATGTACCTGAATACACATTTGGCAAAAGCAAATCTTCTCAAGAAGGTATTTCAAATCCTTCCCTGACTTTGTTATTTCCCAATGACTAGCCCGCCTCATCAGCATATTTGGTATATGAATCCAAGACCTAAGTATTTAGCTCTCACAGCAATAATGCAGGTATGAAGCTCAGAATTCAGGACTACACGCCTCTTTTGATGATATCCCTGAGTTAATGGTACAATCATTATTTCCACCATGTTACTAAAGGAACATCCTGGTTCAGGGTCTTTCATCACTCACACTGCAGTGCAAATCAGGGAGAGTTAGGTCATGTAAGATAAGAATTGTTCCTAAAATATCTAATACAGTTTTTCATCTGTATTTCTTCAAAGAACAGCTGAAATAATATAATTGATTTCATTAACTGAATCTACTCATGAATCTCATAAAAATATACTAACAAAGGTCATCTAGTACCTCCATACAGACTGCACCTATAGAATCACAATTATCTTGTATTTTTCTATCATTTCAACACATGAAACCACCAGTGCCAAGATGCATTTCTTCCAAGACAAGGGAGCTAATCATGAGTCTCAGTGGGGAAGCTTGCAAGAAGCATCTACCAGGGAGCCCAGTTTTGGAGCCCACTGGCTTCCCCACTCGAATTGTGAACTTAGTCTGCTGGAAAGGATTGGAAGCAGAACAGCCTCTTTATCCACTTTTGTACCATGAGCAGAGGAGCAGTAGGAGCTGTGCTTTCTCATAGGACATGGGACTTGGAGCCTAACAGCAGTACGAGAGGGGAGGAAGAACAAGAACTGGTGATGGAGGGAGTTCTGGTAGAGGTCTCAGTAGAGTAGTTCTCTGTGAGAAGAGGTGCTGGAGAAATAAATATCAATTAATGGTAACAGTTTTAACAGCTGGTTAAACCAACACCAAATTCATTAGGCAAATAACTGCTAACTTATTAGCTCTGGCACTGCTCAAATAGCTCTCTGTCCCAGATACATACAAGGTAGCAGACATTCTGCCTGGATGACAGGACTGTACTGCTGGTGTTTAGGAGTCCATGGTGCAGAAAAATGTGTACAGTGTGGTAGAACAAGCAGACCCACATTTCTGACTCTAGACACCTTCAAACATCATGTTACTTATCAAAATGTGTAAACATGCTTCCACCAAGCCAAGGGCCATTAGAACCCAATGCTTCTCAAAAGCAAAGCATTGCAAGACAATTTTAGTAAATATCTGCATTAACAAATAAAAGAGCAGCATTTTGACACAAGAATATCCTACATAATCTGAGATGATTTTGGCACAGAGTTGTTTATAGCAAAACATTAAGTTCAGCTATAACACCAGCTGACTTGTTCTCTGGAAACTCTATTCCCTGAAAGGTAGCATTACAATTAAAGAGTGAAGAGTATTTCAGCTGACATAGCATTCCTGCTATAGGCACAGTCAATCAAGAGAAAGGCCAAAGTAACAGTCAGATAAAAGACTAATAAAGCTACGAATGACAATAAAAGTCCACTGAAAGCTTTATTAGATGGTGAAAACCTAGCTCAGAACATAAAACAGCCCTTACGCAGAATAACCCCCAAACCTTTTACCACAGCTTGCAATAGATGTCACACTGTGCTGGTGAGGGCCCTGAAAAGCATAACATACACCAAAAAATCAAGGCCCAATCAGAACTGCAAATAGACTGGTATGCTGAGTAAGTTGCTTTATTGTAATATTCTGTGACAGAGGTTGGACTTTCCCTGAACTCCCTGGGAACAGCAATTCCTTAGCTACCTTTTCTAATCTGTAGATCTCAAATCACTTTGAATGAAATAAAATGTCCCATTTTTCACTTTCCAGAAAGGGAAGCTGAGGCATAGAGGGATGTTTTAACGCTTCATTATTAATATCTCTTAAGTAATTTAACCCTCAAATTATGGGAAGTTGTTGTCTGGCCTAAGCAAATTCATGTACATATACTTTTTTAATGTATTTCTGGACATCCCACAAGTTTTAAGATTCAAATTCTTATGGTCAGGACATTCGCATGTTGGTACCTTTTTTGTGTCAGCAAAACAGGTATGCTACTTTCTTGTTAATAATGTGTATTTTTTTAAAGGAAAACATGATATGAAATTCTGAATTTCATATTTTTCTTTATAGTTATAATGGTTCTCAAAAATATCTTCTGAGAAACTGGCACACAGGAGTGTATCATTCTTTCACTTAGTAAAGTACAGCTTTAGCAAATATTAAAAATTTCTGCAAGATTAATACTGTACCAAGTTGAATTTATTTTGTGTTATTAGAAGCAGTCCTAGCAGAATTAACACTGCCGTGTTCAACAATATTTGGAGGCAAGAGAATAAGTGAACATGTGAAAGCTAAACCACAACACAGCAAAGCATACAGTCTTTCTGCACCAAAAAGGTGAATGTTAGGATGGTGGTGTAACCAGATAATTCAGGGACTCTAGTAAGAGGATAGAAGACTGGGAGACTGGTACTCATGCTAATAGATTAAAGTAACTGGGGCTCCTGTGTTTTGCACTGTACATATGCTTAATGCATATGTGCTTGGTGCAGTGAGGTATTTAAGCATCTTTTGAGTACTTCTGTCCAGTCAGAGCTGGGGAGAGTTTACCTTCTTTGCAAGAATAATTCACAGTAAGAACTGCTCCTAGAAGGCATCATGTGTGAGATTTCACCAGATTTCTTTCCCACACGATACCTCCTCCAGCAATACCAAAACAGGTTGTGTAACCTGACACAGCCCCCCTGTGTACCCTTAGTTTCATCTGACCCTGCTCTTGGCTGCCAATACAACCTCACATTTTTGCATATTATGAATTAAAGTAACCACCCCACAAAAAATTCATAATTTTTTCTCAGCATGAGAGAAATATCACAGTGGTCCCAGGGAAAACATCAGCCTAAGTAGGTAGTATACATATGGTCAACTTAGTCTAGTGGAAGCTAAGGCTCAGGCTATCAGGTTGTCTCTGGATCCATACTCGGCAAGAAAAATTGGCAATAGGCAGTGATCCTTGAACCATTTCGGTTTGGGTTGTTTTTTGGTTTTTTTTTAAGTCCTCTTATATTTGTACAACAGATTCAGTGGTTTCAAGGAAGCTCCTAAGAAGAAGTTTCCCTGCTATCAGGTGAATTCTATATTAGGTCTTGGCCCTTCAGCTTAATATTCCCATTAAGGTGTCAGTTGCAGGGACAAAGCCGCCCGTTAGAATCGCATAATTATGCTAAAGAACTGAGGTCATAAGACCCACTGTGCAAAAATGTGGGAGATACAGCCCAAATAGTTTGCAATCTAAATAAACAGAGTCCTCAAAAAATAACAGAAGGACACAGAAAGATGAATGGACTTGCAAAGGGTTCATAGCAAAGAAGAGGTTGACCTAAGACTAACACACAAGGCTCTTGGCACTCATTTTTTCTTAATTTCAGTTAATTATATTTTACTAAGTCTGAAAAAAAAAAAAAAAAAGAAAGAAAAACATCATTAGAAGTGTTGGAGTTACCATCTTCAGAGATATTCAAAACCTGTCTGGACATAGTTCTGGGCAACAAGCTAAAGGTGGCCCTGCTTGAGCAGGGGGTTTGGTCAAATGTCCCATCCAACCTCAACTATGCTATGCTTCTGTGAACATTAATAACTCATTTTATTTTTGAAAATTAGTAGTTTTGCCCAGATTTAAGCCACTAAACTTGAACACAAACCTCCATATTTCTACTACCTGAAATTACATATGTATACATAGTTACATATATAAGGTATTTTTTATATATTTAGCAACTACAATAAAAAATCTTTTAGCAATTCTCTTAGCAGGCTCCCCCTTTTTAGATTTAATAATGTTGCGAGCAAAGGAAACATCTGACTTTGGAATTATATCAACACAAAGCGGTTACTTTTGGCTTCTAAATATGATAGATCATATAAAACATCTGCAAGTCATTGGTTGGAGCACAGATTAGAAGGAAAAAGTTCTAGGATATTATGCATATGTACTATTCATTAGGCCTTAAGTCCAATTTAAGCAGCATGCAGTCCATGTGCATTGGTTTATAATGAGTTACTTTAATGGACAAACAAGGTGAACACTGTTCAGACTAATACCTGTAGAACTCGCTCCAGTTGGCACCTGCTAAGCACTACACATTCTGAAAGCATTCTGAAAGCATTATTCCAAATGCTTCAAGAACTTCTGAACACCTTTTTAAGATGCAGGTGTTTTCAAATTATGTATAAATTCTTCAAAAGATCAATTAAATTTCCCAGACTTTATGTAGCTTGTTAGATTTGGGGGCAGGGGTGTTGGAGGGGTATTAAATAGCAAGAGTCTGGAGATAGTCTGTTTATTTATGACACAATCAATTAGTGCTTACTCTTTTTGTGTGAGGAAATATTGTTTCCAGTTCAAACAAGAAAAAAAGATTAAGAATAGCTTTAAATATTTCTTAACATATTAGAATATGAAATGGGCAGCTAAGGGAAGAATGCCATTACCTTCTCTGTTTTTTATTCATTTTGATCGTCATTGCCGAAGAAAACCTGAGTCATGAAATGCACCAACAAAGATGTTTCCATAGGGAAGAGGAACCACGAAGTCTTAAATGAAAAAACAGCAACCTATTTAAAAAAATAAAAAAAGACAGAGAGAAAAAAAAAGAGATGTATCGAACTTCTTTACACAATTAAGCAGCATTTACAGCCAGATTTCGCAAAGCTCAGCTCAGTTATGAATAATCCACACCCAATATGAGATACAGAGTGCATCACAGAGTATCATGGAGCATTTTCTATACTGCACAGTCATCACATCTTGTGGAAGGACACAGCTAGGGCGTGACACACTGTGTCACAGAGCTTTAAAGTCCCTAACCAGAGAAGAGATGTGCTTTCTTTTCTATGTTTTATCTCAAATATTGGAAACAAGTACTGTTCTTTACACAACACTAATGACACGTGCTTTTCTATTCCAACTTATCAGGCTAGATTTGTCAAACCAAAAGACAGAATTTATCTACGCACATTTATTCTGAAGCAATTAGTTCACCTGAATAACAGTAAAAATTAAATTTTAAGATAATGTTTATTTTTTCATAAATAAAGATATGTAAAGATTCAAGAATAAATTACAGCAATTTGAAGAGGACTCAGAAGCTATTGTCACCCAAAGTCTGATACATGTATACACAAAAACATTTCTGGTATAAAGGATTGAATTCAGGGTTGTCTTTATTCATGTAAATCTTTTAACTGCGACCGCTTCCTTCCTTCTCCCTCTCCTCCTCCACCATCCCCACTCTGCATTTCTCCCTAAATCTCACTTTCTCTTCTTCAAGTCAAGCTTCCTTTGAGATAGCCCTACAAAGTGGCATGCTGGCATTCCTTCATTTTTCTTTCTCTTGACTGCAAATAAGGATGAGTCAGGTCAGGAAGGACTTTCTGGGTTTGGGTTTTCTTTATTTTTTTCCACCCCCTCATAAGAAGAAGCTCTCATACTTTTAAAGACTGCTTATCAATTCCTACCCATAAGTTCCACAAGTGTATAAACGTGTGAGTGCACGTGTCTACATGTAAATGTTTATATTTATGGAATAGCATAGCATACCATAGAGTATAATAGAATAGAATAGATGTATGTATGTGTCTTTCATGATGCTTGAGCATATCTGACTTCTGAGACAGCTTCAGAAAGGTCTTAGGAGGGGAGGTACAACCCTTGCCACAGCAAGGAGTCAATCTTGGATACTCCCTGCTGGACATCGATATCTCTCACTCTGACCAAGGAACACAAAGGTGTGATTTAATGTATAAGGCCATGAAATAAGCAGATCACAGGTGTACTAATTATTTTTCTTTTTCAGAGGGGGGATCAGTGCTTATTTGTGTCATTTAATTGTTTATTTGTTTGTTTTCTTTAGTACTAAAAATTAATTTACAGATGGATCAGCTCTTTTTGACACCAGACCATAAATTCTGGCACAAAGTCATAGTAAGAACAAATGGTAAGCAATTGGATCACTCTTTTCAGTGTTGTCTTGGTTTAAGCTGGTGTAGAACCATATCCTACATCCCCCCATCTCACATATAGAGTGAACCTGTGCTAAAAGGTGAGTACAGAGAATCCCCTTACATTTCCAGGGCTCTGGCCATTCACCTGTTTGTCTGTCTGTCAATTGCTTAATTATTTTTTTTCAAATCATTTTGATTTCAATTGGCTAGACTTACCAGGGGTTTAGAAATTTCCAAGTCACAAAGCGTACACAAGCTTCTGTGAAAAATGGCATCTGTGCTTTGGGAGACTTAAAGAGCTCAGCATGAGAAAATCATTTTAAAAAGCAATATGAACTCAAGGGTTCTCTCTTGTCTCTGACCAGTGTGCACAACTGGGCCATCAACACAAGATGTTCAAAATCAGCTTGGTATTGTTCTCCCTCTTGTGTAGGCTCCTCCTCCGGGAAGATAAGGGTACTGTGTTAGACTGTTTGAGACATGAAGGAAAAATAGAAGTTCATGTCAGGAAAGATAACTGAGATCATGAGGAAAAACTGAGACACTTATGGTCTAGGTATGGGTATGCAGAACACAAATCCACTTAATTACATCTACAGTTTGGGGGAAAATTTGTTAAATTATACTCAGTAATTCTAGATGTTGCAAATAACAGTGTTCTATCTGTTACTTTTGTTTAGGAAAGTGAACTTTAAAACAGTTGAAAGAATTTTTAGACCTGGTTTTATTATGACATACCTACTCACATCATGGCACGGCGCCACCTGGCCCTGCGCCCGGAAGCGCCCGCATGGCGCCGCCCAGTCCACCCTGAAAGTGGGTGCACAGGCCCAACCCCAGGCACGTGAGCTCCAGCCCCGGGCGGGGAAGGAGAGAGAGAGAGGGAGAAAGAGAGAGAGGGGGGGAGCTTCGCCAGTGCAGACTGTGCCATCGTGGGAGATGAGAGGGGGAGCCCAGAACACACAGAAGAGAAGGACAACTCTAAACCCGGGCAGATGGAGCTCGATCAGCCCTGCAAGGCCATCCATCTAAGAGAAGGTCACTCTAATTAAACCTACATCCTGAGGACCTCACTGCCACCATCTAAGCTCGCTCAGCCCTGGTAGATGAACCTTAGGATTAAAGGGTGGGTTCAGTTCAGCGCACACTGTGTCTCACCTAAAAAATCCATTGCACAGGCTCAAAGGCCTTACCCACATTTGCAAAGCCCTGTATCTACATCTTCTACAAATGCAGTCACACAAAGATCAAAAGACAAAGGCATATACACCTGCCTCCAAAGGTGTACCCAAATTAACTCTAGCATGCTGGAACATCAGAATCATGCTCGATTCTGTGGATAGCGGACGTCCTGAGCATCGGTCTGCCCTGATTGCCCATGAACTGTCACATCTAAACATCAACATTGCTGCTTTCAGCGAAGTTCACCTTCACGAGGAAGGCAGCTTCAGAGAACATAGTGCCGGTTACACACTCTTTTGGTCAAGTAAGCCCAGAACCGAAACAAATCTCTCAGGTGTCGGTTTCATGATCAAAAACTCTATTGTTCCTAAACTCAAAAATCTGCTGACAGGTCATTCTGACCGAATTATCTCCCTACGCCTTCCACTACACAACAAGCAACACGTCGTCCTCTTTAGTATATATGTCCCAACTCTCCAAGCTGACCCTGCTGAAAAAGATAAATTTTACACTGACCTGCGCCGCCTTACCCAGAAGGTTCCTGCAGAGGATAAGATCATTATCCTTGGTGATTTCAATGCCAGAGTGGGAAAGAATTTTGAAGCCTGGAAAGGAATATTAGGCAAGCATGGTGTTGGAAGTTGCAACGATAAAGGTCAACTTCTGCTAGAATTCTGTGCGGAGCAACAGCTCACCATCACTAACACTATCTTTCAACAGAAAAAGTCTGAAGATGACATGGATGCATCCCAGATCCAAACATTGGCATCTCATCGATTATGTCTTGGTGTGACGGACAGATGTCCACAATGTCCACCACACCCGTGTGATGCCCAGTGCAGAATGTCAAACAGACCATCGACTGGTGCGCTGTAAACTTAACCTCAATCTTAAATTCAAACCTAAAAGGGGCAGTATCCCAAGGAGGATACTCCAAGTTAACAATCTCCAATCAGCCACAGTGAGAAATAAATTCCAGGTTAATCTTCAAACTAGGTTTGATAACCATTCCACAGATTCTACAGATACCTTGCCTGTAACACTCTGGAACCATATTAAAAACAGCATCCTGCAGTCCTGTAAAGAAACCTTAGGTTTCTCCCTCAAGAAGAACAAGGACTGGTTCAATAAAAACAATCAAGAGATCCAGGAATTGTTGAGGAAGAAGAGAAACGCCCACCAAGCACACCCTACACTGCCATCCTGTCACACAAGAAAAACAGCCTTTCGCATTACATGCAGGAAACTCCAACAGAAACTCTGTGACATCCAGAACAAGTGGTGGAGCAGTCTAGCTGAAAAAACGCAATTATGTGCAGACATGGGTGATCACAGAGGATTCTATGAAGCCCTGAAAACAGCATAAGGGCCTACATACCAAGCTCAAAGTCCTCTACTCAGCGCTGATGGTCAAACACTTCCAACAGATAAAACCTCCATTCTGAATCGAATGTTTGAACACTTTCAGACCCTTTTCAGTACCAACCGTGTAGTCCAAGACACAGCCATTCAGTCCATCACACAACAACCGGTGAAATATGAATTGGATACTGTCCCCACTTTAGGAGAAACCCTCAAGGGCATTCAGCAGGTGAAAATCGGCAAGGCAGCTGGGGTTGATGGAATTCCACCTGAAGTCTGGAAACATGGGGCCTTGCACTCCATGCTAAACTTTACGAGTTCGTACTACGCTGTTGGGAACTAGGTAAACTCCCATCAGACCTTCAAGATACAGTCATCATCACCCTATATAAGAAGAAAGGAATTAAATCAGACTGTTCAAATTACTGTGGGATTACTCTGCTCTCCATTGCTGGCAAAATCCTGGCAAGAATACTCTTGAACAGACTAATACCCGCTATAGCAGAAGGAATCCTACCTGAAAGCCAATGTGGTTTCAGAGCCAACAGGAGTACCACAGACGGTGTTTGTTCTCGGACAACTGCAAGAGAAGTGTAGGGAACAGAACAAAAGTCTCTATGTAACTTTTGTCAACCTCACCAAGGCTTTCGATACTGTGAGCAGAAAAGGTCTGTGGCAGATTTTGGAATGTTTAGGTTGTCCCCCCAAGTTCCTCAAAATTATCATCTCACTCCATGAGGATCAGCACGGCCAAGTCAGATATGGCGACGCACTTTCTGAGCCCTTTCTAACAACTAATGGTGTGAAACAAGGCTGCATTCTCACACCAACCCTATTCACAGTCTTATTCAGCATGATGCTCCAAAGGGCCACAACAGACCTCGATGATCAGGATGGTATCTACATTCGATATCGTACTGATGGAAGCCTTTTCAACCTAAGGTGACCGAAGGTCCACACCAAGACCTTAAACCATCTTGTCCGGGAGCTGCTTTATGCTGATGATGCCACCCTTGTCACCTACACAGAAGCAGCTCTGCAGTGTTTAACATCCTGCTTTGCAGACGCTGCTGAGCTCTTTGGGTTGGAAGTCAGTTTAAAGACAGAAGTTCTCTATCAAGTGGCACCTCAGGAAGTCTTCCATCATCCCTATATTACCATTGGCAAATCAGTGCTCAAATCAGTCCTGCAGTTTAATTACCTAGGTAACCTCATCTCCTTAGATGGTAAGACTGATGGGGAGATAGACAACAGGTTACCAAAGGCATATAGTGCTTTCAGAAAGCTTCATAAAAGAGTTTGGCGAAATAAACACTTGAAGAAAGTGTTTACAGAGCCATAGTGCTGTCCACTCTCTCATATGGATCCGAATCATGGGTCATCTACCGCCACCACCTGTGACTCCTAGAACGCTTCCATCAACGCTGCCTTCACACAATCCTAAACATCCACTGGTCAGATTATGTGACTAATACATCTGTTCTAGAACAAGCAGCAGTCACAAGTATTGAGACCATGTTGCTGAGAACACAGCTGCGATGGGCAGGACACGTCTCAAGGATGAAGGACCATCGTGTCCCTGAGATCTTGCTTTATGGTGAACTTGCCACCGGCTGCCACAAGAGAGGAGCTCCAAAGAGAAGATACAAGGACTCCCTGAAACAACATCTCAGCCTTGGCCATATTGATCAACATAACTGGTCTACTCTGGCCTCCAGTCCAGAGGTCTGGAGACACACTATCTATAACGCTGCTGATGCCTTTGAGAAAGCACGCAGGATCACTCTTGAGGAAAAAAGACAATGTAGAAAGAATTGTGCCCTGCAGAATATACCACATAAGCAGTCTTTCTGCTGTGCCTTTTGCAACCGGACGTGTCTATCTCCTATTGGCCTTTTTAGCCACCAGTGCGTTTGTAACAAACGTGGGTAGAGCCCTTCTCAAATCTTCGTTCACGAAGCCCAGCCATGATGATGATGACTCACATCATTCAATGAACAGACAAATTAAAGTCTGTAGGACACAGATTGTGGAATTACAGATTTCTTGGCATAGTCAATGACATTAAAACCCAATCTACAGTGTAAAAAGGACAGTAATTAGGAAACCTCAATCAACTGGAAAACCTGGATAATCACTTCAAATATCAGAATGAAAACTTTCCTGTGAGTCCTTCAAGTTCTGACAATCATCTAATAGCTACCAAACATATGTTCCTATGCCACACTAACCCAGGGAGCTATTATACACAAGTGCAGGTACAGAAAAGAAAAATAGGCAAGTGTATTTTTAATTGCATCCTAAAAAAGTCAACAAGCCTTCAGGTCATCTGTTTTCCATGTTTACAGAATTGTTCCTGGCTCATTTTGGAAAGGATGACTTATAGATGACTCCGTAAAAGCATACTGTCCTTTCTATCTCATCTGTTTGGGGCTAGAATAAAAGACAAGTAGCAAGTAGAGGTTGGGGTTTTTTGCTCACTGACAGGAACTTGTGGTTGGAGTGAATAGAGGAATTAAGGAGAATAAAGATTAAGGAGTCCACTGGCAAACCAAGCTTAGGAGGATCCACTCTTAGGTGGTGAGCTGAGGAAAGCAGCATGGGTAGGAAACAGGTCATAGTAGGAAGTTCAGAGAATAATTTAGCCAAACTGCTTCCAGGAGATAGTGTAGTTATTTCTATGGTGATTACTAAGAAATAACAGAATTATTTGGTATTCTGCCTTGCATTCCTAGTGTATGTAATAGTCTGAATGGAAAATATGCCATTACCTTTAACAAGAAATCTTAATGGACTTCTTCAAAGGTTAATGTGTTGTCAGGGAAAAAAAGGCAGGCCAGAAAATGATCATGTTTCTTTTCAGAGTGTATACCTACCCCTGAGATTTTCAAAGACTCAGACAGGCTAAAGTCTTTCTTTCTTATATTGCCCAAACTATTCAAATTCTCTCAGACTCATCACTGTTTATCACTAGTCTGGCAACAACTCTGAAGACACCTATCTAAAAAGGACATCTTGCAGCAATTAAATGTAGTGGAGTAGAGAGCTCTGATCTAGACAATAAACACCCTTTTCAGCATGGTGCCAGGTCTCCCAGCTGGGAGCAAGCATAACTAAGG